CTCACTCAAATGCTACTTTGGTTGCAACTCGTCAAATACCTAACCCTGACCAAGACAAGGTTTGAGCAATATCAAACCTAGCGTGGAATTAAACACGCCTGTACATTCGTAAGTAGTTCTAAGTTATATCATAATTAAATTAGTTCTAAGCCGTTAACTATAAATTAAGCAGTAATCTTAAGCAGTAGTATAAGAATAAGAAAGTTACCGATAAATCAAAAATCAAAATTAAAAATCAAAATCAAAATAAGAATCAAAATCAAAAATTAAAATTATAATCGAAATAAAAATGAAATCAAACAAATTAAATCAAACAAAAATCAAAACATACAAAAGAACTAACAACAAGTTAGAAAGCTAGAAAAATAACTAGCTCAATCAACTGTAAATATACTAGAGCCATGGAAAACCATGGAGAAACCCGACAAGGTAACAATCGAAGCTCAAAGTCAACACACACAAACATACTCACTGCTCGCACTTGAACGCCACTCGAACGCCACTTGCTTAACCTTGAACGCACACGTTAACGCTAAAACGAACGATCGAAAGCCATACTCCGAAAACGCCGCTAGCGATTCCAAGGAGGAGATATAACTAGACATTGTGTTGTACCTCGAAAGCGAAATGGTCAACCATTCTAGGTATAAAAAGGCGAGGAAACGTAAGCAGGAGATGACCGTTGAGAAACCAGAGCACTGCTCTAACACTCCGGTATCAACTCAGTTTCCTTCGCAACCAATCAAACCAGACGAAAGCAAAGACGATTGCCCACCAGTTAAGAGGGTTAGTTTGAACGCACAACAAAACCCTGAACTGGGCCAGAAGTTGAGGATCATTCAATTGAACCTCAACAAAAGGCAAGTAGCCAACGATGAGCTGGGAGAAATCATGACAGACAGAAATCTTGACATACAGGTGGCACTCGTGCAAGAACCATATCACTGGAATAACGCGATTTCAGGTATGGGCAGCATCGCAGCTATTCATGGATCCAAAAAGGGTGAAAAGATTCAAGCTGCGATACTTTACAATCCGCACAAAGTCACCGCTGTCAAGATTTCTAATCTGTGCGACTCCCATTGTGTTTGCGCACAAGTAGTCGGAGCCTTTGGCGAAATTTACTTCGTAAGCATCTACTGCCAGTTCAGCCACAGCAGGAAGACCTATCTTGACAAACTAGCTGAGACCCTAAAGCAATTGAAAAGCAAAAGAGTCTTAGTTGGAATGGATGCAAATGCCAAGTCAAGGATCTGGTCAAACACACAGGACAAGAATGGAACAGTCATTGAAGAATTCATAGACCAATTCGGGCTAATAGTGGCCAATAGAAGGGACCAACTTCCAACGTGCCGTAGCACGAGGGGCGAGACGAATATCGATGTAACTTTACACACGTCGAACCTGTCAAACCTCTTGGCTAGCTGGGCGGTGAAAGAATGGACCACCAGTGACCACAGGCCCATAGTGATCGAACTGGATTTTGCCTCACAACCAGCCAGACTCATACGAACCGAAGAAACATTAGAACCAAGGTTTAACATGAGAAAAGCTGATTGGGAGAAATTCGGCAAACTTTGTAAATTCGAGAAAGAGAACCTAGCTAAACTCCCTTTAAAAACCTCTGAAGACATTGAAACATATGTTTCAAAGCTTGAAGAGGTCTTAGTAAGGGCAGCAAGGAACTCTATTCTACCCAAAAAGAGAAGAACGCGCTCTCTACCCTGGTGGAACCCTGACTTGCGAAGTAAGAGGCGAGCGATACAAAGAGAACGTAAAATCGTCGCTCTGAAAGAGAAGGAAGGACCGAATAAGAAACAAAGGAAAGCCCTCCAGAGATCACTTGAAAAATTGAGTCAAATGAAATCTGAATATGCAATGGCTATTAAAAAAGCCAAACGCAACAGCTGGAGAGACTTCTGCACTATCGAAAGCAAAAAGAATGCTTGGGCGTATCCATACAAACGAGCATCCAACAAAGTCAGAATCTCGAAAGCAATGTGCACGGTTAACTGTAATGGTTCAGTCACAAAAGACTGGAAAGAAACAAGCATGGCTCTACTAGAAGGATTAATGCCTGATGACGACTCAAGCTGCGAAATTGATACACATGCAGAGATTCGCAGAGATATGCGGGAGGTTCCAGTAACCGCCAACGCAAAGCCTTTCCTGATAAGGGAAGTAGAAATGGCTCTTAAAGTGAACAAGGCAGGGAAATCACCAGGCAAAGATAGAATAGAGTCGGAAATGCTTGTTAACGCAAAACCATTACACCAGGAACTGACACGACTTTTCAACGCCTGCCTAAAATGCGGAGTGTTCCCCAGAAGATGGAAAAGTGGAATGCTAATCACGTTGCTCAAAGGGGTTGAAAAACCCGAGAACGAGATTAAATCATATAGACCCGTATGTCTACTCCCCATAGCCGGGAAGACACTCGAGAGGCTTGTGATTCGAAGAATTTCCAACATTCTAAACAGCTCGGACTGGTCTTCGGAGGATCAATTTGGCTTTAAGGCAAACAGATCCACAGAGGACGCCATCAGAAGACTATATGAAATAGTAGAAGAGGCAGAATCTGATCCGTCGATCAAGTACGTAGCCGCTATTCCACTGGACGTCTCAGGAGCATTCGATGCCTTATGGTGGCCAAGCCTGCTCTCCCAATTGAAAGAAAGAAACTGCCCGAGAAATATCTATAAGCTCCTCCAGAGTTACTTCAGTGATCGAGAAGTGGGCATATATGCCCACTTCGAAGAAACACTGAAAACAGTGACGAAGGGGTGCCCCCAGGGTTCAGTTTTCGGACCGGTAGGCTGGAACGTCATCTTTGACAAACCACTCCGGTCAATCAGGGACGCAGGATACGAAGTACTAGCCTATGCAGACGATGTGCTTCCTATCATTAAGGCAAAAACACGCATTGACTTTGAAAGACAAGCCCAAGAAATCATTAATATAATGATGGACTGGTGCAAGTCTGACAAAATGAACTTGGCAGTACAAAAGTCAGCACTAATATGGCTAAAAGGCCAACTAAGCGAGAATAGGAACCCTACAGTCAAAATTGGGAAAGACAACATTAGAACGCACAAAACAGTCAAGTACCTAGGAATCAAAATCTCGAAGGGACTCAGATTGGAAGAACATATTCGAAATGTGACTCAAGACTGCAACAGTACCTACTTCGAGCTAAGCAAAATAGCAAAAGTAAATTGGGGCCTAAAATTCAATTCTATGAAAGAGATATATAATGGCTTCTTAGTATCGAAAGTTACATATGCCGCTGCGGGCTGGTGGCAAAGGACCAACACCAAACAGCAATCTGCTTTAGAAAGACTGCAACGATCGGTCTTCTGCAAAACACTCAAAGCCTACAGATCAATCTCTCATGAAGCAGCACACGTGCTTGCAGCCTCCCGACCGATAGCTCTAGAGCTTGACGCGAGAGTTGCAAAGTACTGCGTCAGGAAAGGGAGATCGATCAAAATGCACGGCATCCGAATTAAATCGGAAGAACTTCGATCGGGCAGACTAAAAATCTCGAAAGCCATACAACTCATCAACGATGAAATCGAAAGGGTATGGCAAGAGAGATGGCAGTCAGCCACAAATGGCAGGAGAACGTACTGCTATTTCCTAGTAATCAAAGATAGATTAAAGAAGAGGTGGCTAAACCCCAACCACTACACAGTACAGTTCATGACTGGACATGGTGCTTTTAAGTCATACCTCCATAAAAGAGGATTATGCGAAGACCAACTGTGTAGCTGTGGAGAAATAGAAAGCGAAAGCCATATTCTCTTTAACTGCGAAGAATTAAGGGAACTAAGAAAGCCATTAACCCTTTGAAGCACAGTGTCCATCCTGATGGACACATTGATTTATTGCTTCTTTTGCCATTTTAGAACAACATTATGGATTTCAACAGGGTCTTTTGCATTCTTTCAGTTCATTAATAGTTCAAAAACATAATTTTGCAGTTGAAATCAATATATTGGGTTATTTTTTAATATTTTTAAATGAACAAAGAAGAAAAAAATTGAATTTTTGGGGAGAAATTCATTATTGACGCGAATAATGAGAGTATCCCTTTCAAATTTGTTATACAAAGGTTTTTGGGGTCGCTGAATAATAATTTGACATCAGATTTCAAAAATTGTGTATCCAAAATGGCGGATCTAAAATGGCGGGCAAGAAGATTGCCTATATTGATACCAATACTCTAAAATTCATATCTAAAGGGTTTTAGGGGTCGCAGATAACGATTCTGATATCAGGTTTCCGAAATAATGCTTTCAAAATGGCGGATATGTATATTTTTATATTGGCTTGAATATTCTCAAACTCATATCTAAAGTGCCTCAATCTCAGTGATAATCAATATCATACTAGTTTTCTGAAATTCTGCAGCCAAGATGGCCAAAGGATATGATTGATGCACATGCTTATTTGCATGACTTGAAAGTATAATATCTCAAAATAGTGGATACTTCTTTCGCTCATTCTCGGCATTACCCGGAGCTTACAACGAGGACGTGATGAGTTCAAGCTCCATTTACGTTTTTTTTTGTATTTTTCATATTTTATATTTTTTTGTATTTTTCATATTTTATATTTTTTTGTATTTTTTATATTTTATATATTTTTTTTATTTTTTATATTTTATATTATTTCTTATTTTTTATATATTATTTTCTGCATTTTTTATGTTTCATTTTCAGGGTTTTTATTTCCTCTTTTCCTCCATTCTTCCTGTAGGAGGATCCCCTTTGCATTATCAATAAATTTGTACTGTAATATTGTTACTGAGTATTCTTTGAAATTAGACATAAAAACATGTTCTTCATACAACCAGAGCAACAAAACTCATTACTGTCTATATGTGATGTTTTTGAAAACAATTTCTTTCCGGTAAGACACAGAGGAACATTACAAGTACTACAAATCCATCTCGTCTTCTGTGGCTTATCTCTTGTAGAACAGTGGTTACATCTTTTTTATGTATCTGAGACTTGTGGCATGTGAGCAGCATTAGAAAGTCTCTTTTCATCAGGTACTTTGATTTTTGCATGGCATGGAGTATTTGGTGCCGTTCTTTTCCTACCTTTTGGAGTTGGGATCTTATGTACCACCAATTGTTCTACCAATCTCATTCGGAATTTTTTCAATGACAAAAGTGGTTTGATTTGTTTTTCCTTGTACAAAATGAATCCGTTACATATGCAGAGATCGATGAAGTGCCAAAAAATTCTAAACCACCATTTTTTGGACTTACGATCAATCTGGTAAGTAGATATTGCACGATCCGCATAGTCGACATATCCCATGTGTGTGTTATAGTCTGAACACAAGACAGGACTGTTGACAGGAGTTAGAGTACCATCTTTTTGCCTCCGATTCACAACAGTTACTTCGGTAGGGTCGTGAAAATTGGATAAAAAGTATACTGGTTTTTTATCCATCCACTTTATCCATGTGAGTCCTGATGTCGAGGTCTTGTATTCGTACTCTCCAATAACCATTTTTTTATCAGACTTATCACTTTTGGGGAGATTCGCGCGATTAGATCGTACTGTGCCACATGCAAGGATATTATCCTGTTTTAGAGATATTAGAAGCTCTACTCCTGTGAAAAAATTATCAAACTACACCTGGTGATTATGACCAACAAGGTCACGTGTAAGATCACGAACCACACGTGCTCCTAATTGTTTTTCAGGACTATCTGTTTTGCCTGTGTAGATCTGAAATTGACAAACAAATCCCGATTCATCTGCTCGGGTCCAAACTTTGTAACCACGTTTAGTTGGCTTGGCTGGCATATATTGTTTCATGCTACTCCTCCCCTTGAACTTGATCATTGATTCATCAATAGCTTGGTGATGGCTTGGTTTCCAGCATTCTCTGAATGTTTCAGAAAGAGTGTCGAGAAGAGGTCTTAGTTTATACAATTTATCGTATTCTGGATCTCCTTTTGCTGGTTCTTTTGAATTATCATTGATATGCAAATGAGACAAAAAAAATCCAAAGCGATTCACAGTCATCAGTGAAGAAATATATGAATCATGGAATTGAGGGCTATTAGACCAATAATCCCGATACGAAGGTAACTTCTTGTAACCCATATGGATATTGATCGCTATGAAAATTTTCAACTCATCTTTGGTGATAAGATCTCCTTTTGACTTCTTTTGAGAAATAAACAAATTTGTTTGCTCTACAATAACATCTAATAGAGACTCAGGGAACAAACAAAGAAATATATCCTTTGGAGAAGACGCGGAGTCAGGGATGATGGGTCCGTGACTCCTACTGAAAGGTAAATCAGTCTTTGGAATACTCGTCGATCTCCAAATTTCACTTTTATTTAAATCTGTAGTGGTTGTTTCGTTGTCAATTTCTTCTTCGTGTGCCTCATCTTCGAGAAGATTGTTGATTGAAGGGGCTACATGATCTACTCTGCGATCCAATACCTCATCTTCATCATTAGAATCACACAACCCATCAACAGACTCTGAATCACTAGGAATTTTATTCACAATTCGCCTTCTTCTCCCCATAGTTACAAAATAAATCTCTTCTAAATTTGTTGATATAAAAAATATGAAAATTGAAGAGTACTACGTAAAAATTGATTCCTAATTGGCGGGAAAAAATGCCCGCAAAACAAGATATTATGAACACAAAAAATATTATGAAATATTATGAACACAAATATACAAAACGCCTATTTGCTCTTCAACTAATATAGTGAATCCACTCCGGTCTTTTAGTCAATGAGTGTCAACAAATATATGGATGACTCTAGAAGCAAAGAGCCGATCTTTATTTATTTTTCGTAGGTCGGGGGTTGAGGGCCTTTTGGCGATTTGTATGAGCACCAAACACTTTGTATTGAATGTACTCTCCATGGGTCTGAGGGCCATATATATATATATATATATATATTTTTTTTTGAGAGATTCATTCACCTAATCAGAAAACAAAATACTAGAATATTTGAAACAGAATACTAAATTATATTATCAGATTCGTTATCAGCGAGCCCTAAAAGCCTTTACATTGAATTTTGAAGTATTCAGGCCAATATAGAAAATAAATGCCTGTCCGCCATTTTGAATTCGCCATTTTGGATACATTATTTAGGAAACCTGATATCAGATTCGTTATCAGTGACCCCTAAAACTCATTAGTTATGAATTTTAAAGTTTTCAAACGAATATAGAAAAAAATCTATGTCCGCCATTCTGAATCCGCCATCTTAGATGCAAAATTCGAACAATCTAATGTCAGATTCATGATCAGCGACCTCAAAAACCCCTATATATAAATTTTCATCTAAATATCCTGGAGAGAAAAATGTATGTATGAAAAATTAACCTTCAAAGGGTTAATAGAGGCTGTTGAAAAAGAAGGCCACATATGGCCTTGCCCAGAATCAGCCCTAGTATCCAGCAGGAAAATCTACAAAGCCTTTGGAGACTTTGCTAGAAAAGTCATAGAGCCCATGGAAAGAGCACCCATAAAGAGGAGGAAACGAAGAAATGTAGTTACAAACTACGGTAGAAAGACGCCGCCTCTTACAAGGTCCCTAACCAAAGGACAAAAACTCGCACAATAATCTAATTTTTGAACCCAGACAAGCTCATAAAGCTTGAAATTTCGAACGATAATTTTGAACATCAACTTCAGAACTAAATTCTGAAGTTTGAATACTTGAACGCGATGAACCCCGTTCTGACCCAACGACAGAGTTTTGAACTGAATGCGTGGCATAACAGGCAAGAATACTGAAAACTGCCTGGGGAGTCGCCTTGTCGGCTAGACGAGACCCCGTCCTGACATAAAAGTCAAAAACCAAATCGAAAGAGCAAACATCAGTATCAGCCAAGCCATAAAACCATTCTTTAGAAAGCGAGATCTGACTTTGGGACAAAACGGGGTAATAACAACCTTTCGAATGACGGATACCCACCAGCGTGAGCGGGGATGACCGAAACGCAATGGAGAGACGTACCTCGGTATGTCGAAGCGATGGACCTGTGAGTCGTGAGAGAAATCCCTTAATACAGGTACGCAGGGTGGGATGTTTTTCGAACGCGAGCCCAGGAGGGGGGACTTAGTTGGTCGATCGTCTTAGGAATCTTCCTCTGGCTGTCCTGGCTGAGTCTCCCTTCCGACATCCCAATTTGGGTTGGCCTCTGCGGGGTAGTGGTACCATGTCAAGCAAATCTCGTAAGATTTGTATGCTGCGTGCTTCCGACGCAGTAGACGTTGGGGCAACTAGAGTCCCGTCGCGCCCAAACCGAGGGTCAAGCCTTTAGTTCCGCTCTCCTTGAGCGTCGAACCGTGAAAAGATCGGTACTCCTTCCGAGGAGGTCGCCGCCTTAGATTAAAAAGGTTCCGACTCACTGAGTGCGCCAGGGATGTCGTAGCAAACTTGACTTCTGGATCCCCAATGTATTAGAAAGCGAAGGGGTGAAAGACAGTGGGCTGTTCCAACTTATTGGCGCCCAGAGAGAGGGGTGGTAATGTCTTGAAGACGCTATACCACCCTCAAATCGGAAAAGCGTGGAGCAACGTATACACTAGCTGTGTGCTGTATGCGTGCGTGCTGACGAGCTGTTGATCGTGTCAAGAAGGCTGCTCCGAGGCCGAATATTCGTGTGTTTCGGAAGCGAGCTCTAGGCTACTGCGAAGCCGACGTGTAAGTACTTGCTCGATTATCCATCTCTCTCTCGCTCGCTTCCTGCTTGTCTCTCTCACGGCGCATATCATTTATACGCTTCCTTATTTCCTTCATTTTAGTAAATGTTATTTCTCTTAACCACTGTGTCTTTCCTTTCGGTACTCTCCCCTCCCGCACTATACACGTGCTGACTCTCACCGCCAGCAACTGCCTGACCTGCGACGCTCTCCGCGGGCCGAAGGCAAGGACGCTTTCAAGTGGTATAGCTAAGTCACTGGGCTGGATTTCCCGTAACCCCATACCAAGCCTGCAACAAGCCGAGTAGCTATTTAGCATCACCCGTCACGGGGAAGTCAGAACCCCCGTTACAGAGTGTTGCATTATTTGCAGCACCTCAGGAAAGCCATTCTCGTCCCTTGCCGCCCCGTAACCAGTCGTACAACACGAACACAGACGCGCCCTAAAATAAACATTCAACTTTTTTCATGTCCAAACAACAAAACCGGAGATATTGGCGAAGCAAGCTAGACGAACGCGATCCGACGGACACTCAAAAAAAGGAGCGCACCACGAAATAAGAGAACGCACGCACACATTCACTCACGACGACGTGTTGCCGACTGGAGAAAAAACACGGAAAACTTAACTGGAAAATGCAACGGAAATGCATACATGCACATATACATACATCATGCTGCGAGCGTATATCTCGCTTGTAGCGCACTTTCATATACATACTCTCGTACACATACATATACGAGGTGTGTTCAAAAAGTAAGGTGACTTTTCAAATTTCACGGGCAACGTACTTTTGATTATCGAAGTCGTTTTGTTATGTTGGTACACTCTTCTCGAACATCTGTACCAAGTTTCAAGTGTATAGCATTTTTTGTTTGGTCGTAAGAGGCGTAAAGGTTATAAGTGTTTTGCGTGCTCGGCGATTTCTTGCTATCGAAAAATATGGATCAAAGGATTTGCATCAAATTTTGTGTAAAAAATGAAATAAAGTGCTCCGAAACACTTGAAATGTTGACGGTGGCATACGGTGAAACTGTTCTGAGTAAAAAAAATGTTTACAAGTGGTACAAACTCTTCCAAGATGGCCGGGAAGATGCCAATGACGAGCCTCGCTCTGGACGCCCAAGCACGTCAACAACTGATGAAAACGTTCAAGCAGTGAAGAAAATTGTTCTGGAAAATCGTTGAATCACTATCAGAGAAGTTGCTGAGGATGCTGGTATATCGCTTGGCTCGTGCCATGAAATTTTTTCTAACGTTTTGGGCATGAGACGTGTGTCAGCGAAGTTTGTTCCGAAATTGCTAAATTTTGACCAAAAGAACCGTCGCATGAGCATTGCACAAGAACTGTTGAATGACGTCAACGACGACCCAGATTTACTCAAAAGGGTCATAACTGGTGACGAATCATGGGAATATGGTTATGATATCGAAACCAAAGTCCAATCGTCCCAATGGAAGAGCCCAGATGAGCCAAGACCGAAAAAAGCACGCCAAGTTCGATCAAATGTCAAAGTTTTGCTCACTGTTTTCTTCGATTACCATGGCGTGGTGCATCAGGAGTTCTTACCATATGGACGTACGGTCAATAAAGAGTATTATCTTGAAGTTATGCGCCGTTTGCGAGAAGCAATACGAAGAAAACGCCCAGAATTGTGGAAAAACAATTCATGGCTTTTGCATCACGATAATGTCCCTGCTCACTCATCTTTGCTTGTGAGAGATTTTTTGACCAAAAACAACACCACAATCATGCTCAGCCACCATATTCACCGGATTTGGCCCCATGTAATTGACTGGCGGGCGTAACACGGGCGACACGTTTTTATGGGCGCGCGCTAAAGAGTTTGCCTTTTTGCGGACCCGGACTTTCGATCTGGCGTTGCCTTGACTTGTTCGCGAGTGCGGTGGTGGTGCGGCACCTCGACACGACGGTGTGTGTGTGCAAGGACATAGTGCTAGGTAGCCCACATTTAGTCACCACTGCAACCGGCGTCCGGGAACGCCTTTCAGCGAGCGAGCGTTTACAGTACGGAGGGCCTGGCCATTGTCGCCTCATTGTAAGTACCGACTCGTTTAGCTCTCTCTTGCTTGCCTGCTCGCTTCTCTCTCTCTTTACCGATTTGTTACTCTGTACGCTTTCGCTTTGATGCTTTATATAAATTATTCTTATCCTTCTCATTCTTTGCGTTCTTTGACTTTGCGCCCGACTCTCACTCCCAATCCTTGGCGAATTCTCTGCGCTCGTCACTACTTTTCGCGCTTTTCAGCCACTGCTACCTGCGACGCTCTACGCGGGCCACGAGGCTGCTTGATGTCGTGGCTGGTTAAAAAGGCTTGGCCACACAGGTGCCAGTGCACCAGCCTCGTGGCATTAGCTGTTTATTAAGCCGAGCTGTCAACTAATCCATACTCTCGATTGTAACGGCGGGTTAGCCAAAACCCCGTTATAAATTAATCCATATAATTTTAAGAATTAATTAACAAAAATTTCGTACCGTAATATATTTCAAGTTATATATGTAATTCTTAAATCATAAATTTTTTTAACTTTTCAAATTTAACTTGAATCTCATTTTCTCAAATTTATTTCTTCCTAGAGCTTTTGTAAAAATATCCGCTAAATTCTTTTCTGTATCTATTTTTACAATATCAATTTCTTTTTTTATCGTAGTATTCATTTACAATATGATAATGAATTTCAATGTATTTTGATCGTTTAGTTAAATTTCCATATTTCGCAATCAGTACTGTGCCTGTATTGTCTTCATAAATTTTAATAGGTAAATCGATTTTTATCTTAAAATCATTTATCAAACCATTTATAAATTTTATTTCGCTAACTGCTTCTGA